AGGGTGGCGAAGTGTTTTCAGATAGACCACATATTCATTACTGGTATGCTAGTTGAAAGGAGTCAAATTGAATTTTCAATCTTCCAAGAATGTATCTGTGTGGCCCATATCTATAGAGACTTCCTTTTGTCTTCTTCCTTCACATTCACATTAGCTTATCGCAAAGAAATCGAAAGATCTTTCGTTGTAGTCAATGACGGAAGGTTTTCCGAGGAGCATATCGTGAATAGGAATGCTCCCGTTTTTCAACTTCCTCTCCTCTCCTCTCTCTCTCTCTCTCGTCCTGTCTTTGAATCCTGTTTCCCCAAATTCGCAAACTCCTTAACCTCCCCGATTATTGTGAGTTGCACTGCTTCACCCCATTTGCTTGACGGTTGGAAGAAGCTCTATCCTTCAGGGCTTGACTGTTGTACCTTTCTCAAATGTTGTTTGTTGAGGCAGTATCAGAAATTCACAGAGGAATCTCTTCAGGTCTGAAACTTTTCGTCCTTTGCATGACGTCTCTTTTGAAAAAATAGAGTATAAATGTTGGAGACAAATTGACATTTCATGTTGAAATTTTATCATAAACACTATTATGAAAATTGTCGAACTACAGCCTTTAATTAGCGAAATGAAATCTGAAATGTGAGCACGAGACATAACCTTATCCAAGACAACAGCATTATCTTGATTAGAGAGTTCTGGGCGCAATACCCTGCAGGGCTGACTTGCACCCCTTAGCTCAGGCGGTTGTACCTATTTTTCTTTGATGCTGGGCGCACAGCAACATTCATGAAGATGGCTCTTCATCAACATGGTGATAGGAAATACAACCGAGAAATACACATAGATACGTCTTTCATCAGAAAACCAGATTTCTTGAAGGAAGAAGCGAGTCTCTTAGTTCGATTACTATTGACCAGAAAGTCAGAAGCTGCTGTTTGTGCTATTTGAGCAGATAAAATAAACGGAAATTCGCTCAGCTATTGGAGGGGTGGAAACCAGGCACTACTGGGTAAACTATCGAGTCGACTTCATCTTCATCTCGATTTCATCTGAATGGCCATATTCGGAACCTTGGTCTTTTCGTGAAGCACTGTAGCTGCTCACTATTTCTCATGATTCTATTTCAGAACAAAACAGCTTCTACAAGTTTGTACTTTCCGTAGCTTTCAGCGATTTTGACTTTGTTCTCTAGAAGTTAGCGCGAGCAAGATCACAAAGCAGTGAAACATTGAGAAATGTATGCAATATATGGCTATGAAATTTTACGTTAACTTGGTCATTTCATCAAGTAATTTCGAACACTATTGCATTTGAGTTGCCAGATAATTGAAGTAATCCCTTTGAATGAGTCAAGGTTCTGCTTCTCTTTACATCCTTTCGTTTGTTTAGCATTTTAAGGTCATTGCAACTCACATATTCCAGTTTTTTACGAATGATAAGTGGTTGGGCTCCCACCCCCTCTAAGTTACCCCTCTGAAAGCCGATATCCTGGTTCGCCCAATGTTCCTCGTACATTTTGACGCCTAAGAAGCCGTCGTCCTCTATATGTCTGTCTCACATGTGATGTCTGTCACGTCTTACATCACAGCAACAAGACCATAGGAAAGTTCAAGTGCTCGTAACCTGAATTGCCGTATCGAAGCACTGTCAATTCAATTGGATCCTGGCCCGAACATTGTTCAACGCGACCGCATTGACATTACCATGGAAACATGGAAGTTTGGAGTTAGAGTATTAATAGCGAAAAATTAAAAAGTTGACGTTGCACTGCAAAAAAAACTTGGGAACAAATGAATGAAACTCCATGTCGACATCGAAGTTCTAAATGAAGCGTAGATTAATTGGAAAATAAAGTGAAGAGTCGTTAAATCATGAGTAGCTTTCAGGCTTTTTGAATTAAAACTTCAACAGAAGGTGGGAAGAGAATTAGGAAAAGCTCAAGGAAAGCATGCAGTAACTTTCCAAGCAGTCGAAACTTTCGCAAACATGGCAAAGCAAATCTAGCACTCTGCACTAGCAAATCTTCCGAGAGTAAACTGCTTCAAAAATGACATGTGTCAGTGCGTCAGCAGAGAAAAAGAGAAGTAAGTAGAGCACACTAAAAGTGGAGCACAGTCGTCATAGCGGACACGAAATTGTTTCACGAGGAATGGCAATCTACAAAAAATTGTGCAAGCAGGAATGACGAAGAACTTCGTTATGTCGTTTTGAAGTGTGGTTGTTTTTACATTATAAGAGTGCTGGATGAATTCCTACTGGATAAAATATGAGCCGCCCTATGCGCCTAGCGTACTGATGTGGAAGAGGCATCCGACACTCCCTGCCCTTTATGCTAACCAATGGTCAGGTGGAGTGCAAGCCACGACCACAATCAAGGGGCATTAGCTTCAGCGCCTGTCATTACTCTTCAAACCACGCTATCGATACCTTTTCTGAAACTCATTGATTCTTTTGAGGTTTCTAAATGCAATATGACGCTGTTCTATTCCCTCTTCTCCGAATTGTTAAATACTAGCAAAAAAAGAGCATTAATCCCGCCGTAGATCGAAGTTTTAAATCAACTAACCAATGGTCAGGTTGGAGTGCAAGAACTTCGGTCGTTCAGATCTAACCAGAATTGAATCATTACGGAGCACTTGTACTTGGCTAGTGGGAACACCTGTAATATTTTCTGATTGTTCAGTCTCAGTTTCCCCCTCACGCCACATTCGCCATCGACATTGCCCTTGCGATCTGAGTTTATTGAACAGCCTACCATTTCAGCTAGTCGTCGAGATTTCTTTTCCACTGCCACAGTTTCTTTACCTTCGTACAAATCTGAGACCCTTGTCTGTATTGAATTGAAGCTATTATTCTAAGCTGAGAGTTGACTGTCATTGGAAGAGACACTTGTACGCCTTCTCCTCACTGATGGTCTCCTTGAAGTGACTCAGAGAAGAAGGCATGCGTAAGGGTTCAAGTCAAATCCATGCAAAACGCGGCGTTTTCACCGGAGAAAGTTAGGAAAAGTAGGCAGGAAACCTATATGGGCTCGTCGGTTCGTCAGTTTTTGCGATGTTTCTCCAAGCGATCTAAAGAGAGGTGGCCGACAAACGATTTACGGCGAGTAATTTAGAAGTCTTACATAGAGGCTGTAGGCACTGGTTTAGCGGCGCCTCCCTTGCTTTACCTCTGAGCTACTGCACTACAAAGTTGTCATTTCACATCGTTTACACCATGTCCCAAGTCTGAAATGCGCGTCGAGAGCCTTTTGGGCTTTGCGGAGGAAGATAGTTTCACGTCATTATTTTCATTTTTAGCCAATAGCACTTTCCGCACTATTCCTCATTTAGTTTTGTGCCAATAGAGCGCTTGCCATGCTAGAAAATTTTCTGGAAAAAAATTACGTGCTTTCTTTGCCGGAACTGTGCGCAAACTCTTTCGTGAACGTACTATGATTCCCAGCTAAGATTCCGAATAACTGACCAATTCGAGTTACGATGCATCAAAACATCATGAATACCTGGGCTGTCAGCATAAGTATGCATGATATCACTGGTTTGACTATTCTGCCCACAACACAGATAGCAGGAGCTAGCTCGCTGAAAAAGCATCGATTCGGTGAAAAATATTATTTGTTCCACTCATAAATATTATTGTGCATCTGCACCATTATTGGAGCCATAACGTGTCAGTCTTCGGGATTTTAGTGCATTAGGACTTTAGCGCCGTGTATATTGTGCCAGGAAGTGCTGGGGTCCTTTGCTGCTCTTCATGTTTGTGTAGAGCATATGTGTAATACAGAGTGCTGCGTTATTTGCCCAAATGGAAGGGATGTACATTGTACACAGCGAGTAGTTACATACCAGTTCTTGGGCTTACACTGTATCAAAAAAATATATCTGAGACGAGCACAGTGTTCGGAGTGAACGTAAAGGAACCCCACTCGATGAAATTCCTAGAAATTCTCAACTAACTTGGCGAGCATCAAAAAGAAGAAGAAAAAGCAGTTAGGACATCAAATGCGAAATAGGAAAGTGAGATCGAAGGAACATTAAAAACGCTCATATTTGCAATGAGTGAGAGTGATTCCATGCCTTGCCTATGTGTGCATTCATGATGTATTACATGAATTATGTGTTAACTTCTTCGTTGCAATCGTGACCTATACCAGTTGAATGAATTATTGCCGTTCGTATGACATGAATAATCCGCAACGTGAGGCTCTCAACTCTGGGAAGTGCGAAAAAGCAATTGCAAACCAGCGCACGATAGTTTTTTGCCTATGGTTAGGAGTTAAATAGTTTTGGAGTGGCCAAACCTACTACATTAACCATGATACTTTCCGGATGCTTCGCAGAACCAAAATGGCTCCCGTTTTCTAATACAAGGAAAGCAGGCAGAAATTCAGCAGCAAGATCCGTTCACTAATGGTATTTATGAAAGATGATGGTGGTGTCGGCGGAAAGGTCACCGCTATTTATGACATTTCGCTAAACTCTGTAAATATCCACAATGTATCTAGGATCCATAGAGCTGGAGCTCTCCGATGGAGTTTCAGTCTGTAGATATTGACCAAATTGGCTGCAATGAAGAATTTTCAGAATATTCCCACCTCTTGATAACAATTTCCTCCAACGCTGGCAAAATTAGACGATATTGTCGTGACAAATTCGAATGCCACAAGAAAGAGAGCGAGATCCGTTACATTACTTACTACTGTTGATACGCCACTGGCTACGTCTGATACAAATTTTCAGTTATAATATTTTACTTCAGTATTGTTGATTTATCAACAATTTTTATCTTGCGAGGATTCTATTACTATTATTTCCTATATTACTGGAGGAGGGGGGCAAGAGCAGCGCGGCAGGAGCCCATCTTCGACTGCCTTGCTCTACCAGTAATGATCGATTCAAAAATATACAGTCAGTGATGGGAACGCTGTAGACGGATACCGAGTAACTGCGATCCGACTGTTGCGACGATATAAATATCTATTTGTAGATTAATTCATCTTATTTAACTATCAGATGTCCAAGCTATTTCGTTATCTCATATTCATAGCTATAGCAGCATCACTGCTGTTCCTGATGAAGAAATCTCTGTCGACTGTCTCTATTTCAAGGCGTAAGGTATGTTTAATTTTGTGACGAATATGCATCAGTCAGATATTTTCAACTTGATTATTAATCAGAGTTTCCTTAGAGAACACCGGCAAATGCGAGCGAGCTTGATTTGAGATCTGCGAACTTGTTAGTCCAGCAGATGTACGGCCAGGTGGACTACTATGATGAGGTGCTGCATTTGTTGCTTTTTACCAATGAACAAAGGGCCATGCACCGGGTTCCGACGCCCAATCTTTTATCTGCCCGCGCTTCAGGTTTTGTTACAGGACCACGAAAATGATCCAAGCAGTCGCGTAACCGAAAGTTAGAATGCAGTGAAGGTTTTGCGCTAATGAATCTTTCGGGACTGTAGCGAAAATTGTGAACTGCTTCTCCCTCTCGAGGGACTTTGCCCCGTATCCTGAACTGTGCAGTAATCAAACGTGTAGTATTCAGCGACTTGCTGTGCTGAATTATACCATTGTGCCCAGGAGTGGCATATGTGATCATGTGCATTATTTGGTGATCGTAATCGTCAGCGCAAGCGACACAGAGACACGACAAAGATGGCGTAATACGTACGGGCAGTTTCAAGACAAGGTTTGTATTGTAGTTGTCATTCGATTTTGTGTACAAGTTGTCCCTTATGGTAACCGTTCACAGTGACCACATGAGTAGAGTGAGCTTACCAGTGTGCCTAGCTCGGTGGGGTCTCCAACTCCTCTCCAGTTCAGGCAGCTAGGAGCTACAGTAATGAGTTAGGTGCAGTGGATTATTCCTCAACAACATCAAGCACACAAAACTGGAGTGGATTATGTCTTTCTTCACAGATGTCAACAGTAACCAATGATTTTCAGTTCAACTACAGCATTGTGTTTGCTATTGGATTATCGCAGAACGAGTCATTCAGAGACGCCTTAAACTACGAGGCGACTACATATGGCGATATGTTACAAGCCGATTTCAGTGATACCTACAGGAACCTTACTCTCAAGGTGAAATGTGATGCTAATTATATCAAAGTGATAAATAAGTCCTGGCACGGTTGCACTTTGTTTCTTTCGCTTTTTCGTTGTTAAATCCTGATGGGTTCATGTGTGTGAGCGTTCGTCAATAGAGAAAATGTAAGGCTTAGCAATTCATCTTAGAATAGCACGAACAACAGTGCAATATGGACTACAAGTTTCGCATGGTAGACCGCACTAGGATATGGCACAAAACGGTAAAAAGAAGTAGAAGCGCGTAGGCAAATGAAAGCATATTATTCCTCTTCATAAGATCGCCAGCTGTTTTCAAACTTTCACCTCACCTGATCATAAAATATTCTAAATGTGCCGCGACTCCGGGTGGGGTTTCATCGTGTCCTTCGACGCGCATACAGCCAAGTTATGACCGAAAGACATGACCCACTGGACGTTGACAAAATATATGTACATTCACAAGTGATTTTTCATTATTTGAGATGACGGCTTTCGAATCTTCATCTTAATTTATTTACCAACCTAACATTTGAAAACTTGTAGGCTATGGCCGCACTACGGTACGCCGCCGTCACCTGTACCGATGTGCAAGGTATCGTTAAGTTAGACGATGATGTCGCATGGAATATGAAAACGATGAAGTCTGTTGTAGATATGTCAGCAAAAGACGACAAAATGCGCTGTTTTCTGTGAGAGACTTTTACTTGTCTTTAATTTTACTCTATTTCTTTAGTAACACAAAATGCTAATATCCGGCTTTTGAATCTTTCAATCTGTGTGCATTTCTCCAGAGTTAGCGCAGTGATCGATGTTCCTTAAGCAACAAAGTGGACATGAAGTTTATGCATGGTCAATTAAGGATTATACGCTTTAGGCCATGTGAACCCGCTTTTGACCATACTGGGAGAGGACAGAGAGAGGGGCTACGACGGTTCTGAGCCTAAGTGGTGAAAGAAACTACCAAACTTTCTCAAGCCCCGCTGTTCATACTTCTTTGCTCGTCTAAAAAATAGCACTTCACTTGACGTAATAATCAGTGCGTTCAGTAGTGGTTTCCTGTTCGACTTCCAAGTCGGAAGAAAGTGCATCCAGACGTGGTGAAAAGCAGTTAGGGACAATGATTCATTATTGCTCAAGAAGTTAGCAACTATAAGAGCCTGATTAGGCTCCAGTGAAGAACGATTTCCTGCGCTTGCCAGCAGACCGATCACCGTGTGCTCTACCATCAGCCGTTAGATCAACAATGAGACCTCACAATAACAATAAAACAATAACAATCTTGCACAGTTAGAATGTTCCGCTCTTTTACACCATTTTTTTGGTTCTGAGGACTGCACTGCTTTTGTTATGACCGGTACCGTTAACGAGCTGAACGAGATTCTGGTGTCATCATTATAATATTTTGTCATTAATTAACGACTATCCCTTTTAGTATGGCACCCTACGAGGTTCAAAGGAATCCAAAAAATAAATGGTGAGAATATTTCAAACACTTTCACCTAGTGATGCTAGGATGTTCTAAGTTGCCTGAGAAGTTTCCCGCCACTGTTCTGCATGTTGCGAAATTTTTGAAATTTTGTGTCTACCACACAAAGCATGTATGAACAATGGACTTTACCTATAGAACGTTCCGACCCTATAGAAGGTTTCAATGCTATTATGACTTCTGGAATTAACCTTGAAGAAGTTTTGAGATTCTGCTACTGCTCCAAGAATGGAGAAAGGATGCAAGCGTTTCTGCAAGAGGTATATGTGCTGCGATAGACCACGGCAAAGCTCTGATTTCAGTTGATTTTGACAAAAATGGCCGCTGAGACATAAGGGCACACATGATCCGGTTCGAAGATTGAAACTGGTGGAGAGTCCGTCCTGGATTTGATTCACCCCACTGATTTCGAATGAGAAGGTGTCTGCTCGAATTTCTTGTTTATTCCGAAAAATCATTCGTTGGCTCGACAGCTTGGTAACGGTGACGAGAAGTTTTAACTTACGTAAACATAGAAGCGTGTACATAGCTTCATAAATATACAGGGGGGCCAAAAAAAGTCACTTCGACCGAGTCACATATCAGCAAAGTTTTCGCTGCCCAGACAGAGGACG